AATTTTCAAACATCCTTTACTACCAGTCTTAAATCACGAAGCCCGCGTGAGTCTTTTAATTTTTTTTATCTTTGGTGGGTAGGTGGTGGGTGTATGCGTGTCGCTCCTTAGATTTGCTTGTGTCGCGCGTACATATGTGTATACGTGTGTGTGTGTGTGTGTGTGTGTGTGTACCTTTCGGGAAGGCCGGTATCGGGTAATGTTGGAAGAATACCTCGCGTAATCATGAAGACAGCGATACATTTTTGCGGTGTTTCTCGCGTTTATGCGAAAGTGAGGTTGTGAAGAACACGTTGTATAGCGATACAGTTATAACCAGGGCCTTCTGGACCGTTCAAAAGTACAATTCCCCGTAAATGTGTATTTCACGGAGAAAAGAGTGAGTCGTTATGCGTTATGGACATTTCAAGCCAAGATCTCGCCTTCTCTATCGTCCACTCCTCACTAAAATTAATTTTATCACGATTCTTTCTTCACATCGTACCGATCTGCCCCTTATCCATGGTGCATAAAAAAATATCTATTTTTTTTTTAACGTTTAAGCGTTTTTAATATATGCCAATCGGACGGTCAAAGTTACATTATCTCACATCCGTTGAGTTTAAAATAATTTCTACGAGTAATAATGCCATTTAAAAAATATCTTTTATATTTATTAAAATTTGGCAGATATTTTCAAATGGGAATATCATTTATATAAGTCCGAATGAAAACTAGAAGTAGATATTCAGCGAAAGTATGGAAAGCGCAAAAATTTTTTTCATGCACCACAGATATAAATGTGTGTGTGTGTGTGTGTGTGCGCGCGCGCGCGCGTATGCATGTGTGTGTGTATGTGATTAATGTATTTATGTGTACATATGTATGTGGATTCGTGCATATGTTGCATGAACGTTTCGTGTCGTCTGAGCAGCGATGTAGTCTATCAAGTCTCGAGCAGCGAAGTGATGGCAAAAAGAAGAAGAGAGAAAGAGAGAGAGATATACATATATATGTATATATAAAAAAGGTGTATATATCGTAAGTGTCCAATTGATGGGAGCAAAAATGAAGAAACAAAAGCCAATGCTGAAAGAGCAAAGGCATGTTAGGCCTTGCGTAAAGCCGCTTTATTCATTTTTTTTTCTTTGTTTACACTCGACTATATCCCCGATCTGCTTTTGAGCTACCGTCTCATCTCCCCCCGGTCACTCGTCCACTATATACACTACTCGCGTATTAGATTACATCGGCGTGGCATGATTTACTACGACGAGATCAAGTGGAGTAATTAAGATCGCTCTACGTAAATTGGGGCAACTCCGTGATTTTCCGATGACGTGATGATAATTCGTAATGAAACGATCGCAAACGAATCATATAACGAATCATATAACGGTTGGAAAAGTACGCTGAGAAAAAGATTCCTTCAGATTTAACAAATTTTATTGCATCCAAACAAATTTCATCATTGGCATGCCTCAAAGAAACTGATATCTCGATTAATAAGTACGATTGTTAGACTTTTCAACGAATATGTATCTTTATCTTAAATAAACAATTTGTTAAACGAAAGAATTTTCTTATAAAGAAATTGTTTCATTTTACATATTTATTGTAACCAAATAATATTTTATTTGATTAAAAGATATTATTTCAAATAATAGCGTTCTTTCTGTTAAATAATATTTTCTTCTGTTAAATAATATTTTCTTGAATGAGACAATAAAATTTTTATTCAAACAAATAATATTTCATATAAATATATGTTGTTTCTATGAAAAAATTAGTAAAATAAATAGAAATACTAAATCTGAAGAATCTTTTTTCTCTGTATNGAATGTCAACGTGTGCTAGTCAACCCCACCCGATATATTTTAATTACTTCAATTGACCTTTCCCCCTCGGATCGGTTTGTTTCTCTCGTGAGTATATAAAATTACGCGTTGCATTTCGATTTCATCGTATAGCCGTTCCTACGACGCGTAATCCCCAGTGAATAATTTTCGGTAAATCAAATCACTTGAAACGAGACACACATGTATCTAGATTAAACATCACTCGGCGCTGAAAACAGTGGGAATGTGTTGTGTCGAACGTATTGATATTCGAAGCGACAAGGAACCGTACGAAGGAATTTCGCGGTGAAAAATTGTATCACGTAGCAGCGTGACAAAACTGTTCTATCTCTTTGCAACAGAGTTATATACACACACACACACACACTTGTATGTATTGTAAAATCACGCATGTCAAAAATACCGTTAGCAAGTGCAACATAGTTGTGTTGTCGCGTTGCTTTTATTTCCATTGATAACAGTTTTGTGGAAAAACAAGAGAAGAAAACAAGAAAAAACCGGTATCTGTTCTCATTTTTGGCTCACCGCGGGGAGCGCGTACGATCGAACACAAGCGATTTTTCTCACCGACTCTATCAACGAACGTCATCGGCGACGTGATTTTTAACTGCACCTCCCGGGGAGTTTATTCGATATTCGAAACGACACGCATAAACCCGCCGAACTAACTTCATTTATGATCCGACTTGTAGAGTCATGCTACACCCAGGGAAACGATAAATCACATTTCTCATAGTTAAACATCAGTATGGAATTTGTTACTGGGAAACTACTTTCACACATCAATTTGGGGGACGCGATCTCCATTGTTTATTTGGATCTGAACGGGTGCCATAACGTGCACAAAGATGTAATTTAGTCGAGTTTTCCGGGTAAAAATTCCAAATAAAGCCCACTCGCGTTCTCCTCAAGATTTAAAGTACTCAGCCCGGCCTTGATGTACGACGAAGCAAAGTCGGATACGATAAGACCATCCGCACATAAAAAAATATAATCTAAGAATTAGAAAATTATAATATAATGCCTATGTTATACATTTTATTTATTTTCTTGGATCGTAAATTATAAAAATTTAGTAAATCAACCAGTTTGATCGATACAAATTTTCAATGAATAAAAATAGTTTTTTCTCGGCAAAATCTGAACAATAAGACTGTTCAGGGGAGTAAATATTTATTTGCAAAAATAAATATGGAGGAAGATCTGCTGAGTCACGTCAGTACAGTGAGCGATTTTCTGAGCGATTCGAGATCGGGCTGAGTCCTCGAATGAGCTACGTCGATGTAAAAACAGTCGGGCTAGCCTTCAACAACGCTGATAATCTTATACAGAAGGGGACAGAGAAAAACACACACAATCGTGGTCTCAGTGAGAGGTTTCGGGGAGAGTGTCGAGACAAGAAACCCAATAAGTAAGTTACACGCAAAACAGCTCGTTTCACAGGGGGAGGTACCCAAAGGTGCATTCGTCAGAAAAAACAACGTTCGCCTCGTGCTCTCGCGCCACTCGACGATTATTTTCGCGTCACGATCAATATTTCGGATCGAGAGACGGCGGTGTATTCTTAATTAGACGTTGTGTTCGTTAATTCCGGGATGATGAGTCGCGAAACTTCGCGCCATCGTAACTACCGGCTATTGATATTTTTAGGAAAGCCCGTTAACAAAAGTTCATTAAAATATGCCTATATTCACCAACGTACGGGAAAGTGTACGAGCATAGTGGGGAAAATCGCCCGAGTAGAAATTTTATTTTTACATGAAAATATATACAAATTTTATTGAATTTTGGAAATTACATGTTCAATAATGCCGTGTGCATCAATAGAAATTTAAACTTGGATTTGATATAATAATAATAAAGCTAGAAATATAAGCATAGAAATTAAAAGTAAACATTGGCAGATTTAAGACTGCGACCCAAGGAACATTATACTGCACACAAATCAGCATTTGCGAGATTTATACCAGATCTAAAGTCGTTATTCACACTTGCACATTATTTACAAGGTATCCAGATTTGAATTTAGAAATAAATCTGAATTTTTCATTTATATCATATAGTGAGAGAAATTATAATTATTGTCGGCCTCAGCTATATTTTTATTAACTACAAAAATAATAGTAGCAATATGTATGTAAGATTATCACTATGATATTATAATGACGCATACTAGAAAAATTGTTCTTCTGATAATTCTTTTACTATGATAATCACAGTTACAAATACTAAATACTTTTCTCTCAGTATATGTGCGATATCTGTGTGACATCATATTTATAGTTCAACTGAAAAGAGAGCTCACATCCAAATTCAAATCTGAATACCTCACTTGAGACAAGCCGCTTCACGCGACGACTGATAACAGGGGCCTGAGAGTATAATTAATTACAGATTCGCACGGGCCATTATTCGGCCGCTCGATGTTTCTTGTTCTACGAAATAACTACAGATACAGGTTGACGAGTAATCAGCGACTCACGAAGCTACAATTAATCGTCAAATGATGACGTGCTATGAGTGCCGGCCTAAATCTCGATCCAATCTCTTTACTCTCAGTAAATTTGTCAAACGTCCGTCAAAATCGGGAACATCACGTGTAATGTCACGCTCAAGCTCGAACACGTACGAGTTCCGCCGGTCTCGATCGAAAAGTTTCGTCGAAAAAAAATGTATACATAGGATTGCTTTCCGTTTTCCCAATTCAGGGAAATCTTGCGCGAAACAGCGGCTTCGATTTGCCGCCGCCGGATTAAACGCGACCGTGTGTCTCGCGGATATCCGGGAATAATCGTCGAGGAAGCTGTCGAGGTATCGAATAAAGGCGTACCGAAGTAAACAGTAGTCGTAGTAGTAGTGGTGAAATTTGGTGATGGTGAATTTCTGGCTGATATGCATTATAAATGTGTGGACAAACGAATGAGCGGAATGCCGATTCTGAATATATCTTGAAAAAGATCGGGTAGCTTCGGGGCTGATCAGGGGCCGGGGGAGAGGTAGGTCGTGGAATTGTACGACTGGTACATTATATGCCACTCTAGTGTATAACTACAAGAGGTTCGAAGGAAAGAGAAAGAGAGAAAGAGAGAGAGAGAGAGAGAGAAAGAGAGAGAGAGAGAGATAGTTTCGGGACCGTGTTGCGTCGGGGCCCGATAATCCTACCTTGAAGAGCTGTACGCCAATGACGGCGAACACGAACTGCAGGAGGCTGGTGACGAGGACTATGTTTCCGATAGTCTTTACTGCTACGATGACGCACTGTACTACGTGCTGGGTTCAACATTAATTCACAATATATATCCGCCCTTCTGTGCGTGGAGAGATGAGAATTACGCGCGCCGTGTGTCGCGTTAACGCTTTTTACGTTTTTTTTTTTGGTTCGCTTTTTAGTTTCGTCTCGTGTTTTTCTTCTTTTTACTTGTTTTTTTTTTCTTTTTCTCGGCGAGAATCACACACGTAACTGCCGCCATGGAGTTCGAGCTCTCGAGTGCAACCATCTCGAAATCGCGAGAGAGCAAGGAAATTTCGCGAAGGGAAGTCTCGTCGGAGAACGCGAACGCGGACGAATTCGTTAAGGTCGCCCGACGATTCTCCACCGAGGGTACGCGAGACTAATTTTTTTATTACTGGAAGCACGTTTGTTCCTTGCTTTTTTTCGCAACAGTTCTCTACGACGTATCGAGAGGCCTGTCGGTGTGTCGTTATAACTTGACTTCGGCCGCGAGTATACGCGCGCGTGCATCTGGAAAACTCACTCGAATGATACCTCATCGCTCGGCGCGAATGAATTTTCGCGTTTTCGTGTTATCCACCGACTACTGGGTCGAGCAGTTCCATCTACCCGTCGTTCGTTCTTTCCGCTAGCGCGATAAATCTCGCGAGGCGAACGGTTCCCGATCAAGTGCGCGTACACAGTAAACGGAAAGGACTCGGTTCCGCCGATTACAGAGCGCGAGATTGTTCTCAAAAGTGACTGTTTTTTTCTTTCGCTCGGCGCTCTTCCACCATTTATGTTATATCGATCTAATACAATCGCAACTTCGCGAACGCTTGGCGATCAACGTCGGAAGTATGGAGCGATTCTTTTAGTTTAGCTGGCTGTGGACAATTACGGTATTATGCTTCTGGCGTTATACTATTTACGTCTACTGTAGGGCGTATGCTGTGAATTGGGCCGGTTTTAGCGAACTTACAGATAAATAAGACAAATGAGCGAGATACCTTCAGTCCCTTGGCGCGATTGATCGCGCGGAGCGGCCTCAGCACGCGAAGCACTCGGAGGACCTTGACCACGGAGAACGCGCCAGAACTGCAAATGAGAAACAATATCGTCAATATCGCATAAATCAAATGTGACAAAAAACAATTACATAGAGCAAAATTTTATCTCTCGAGAGAGCCAGTCGACCAGTTTTTTCTCTTCTTGACAAGACTCTCTAATTTGTATTACAGTTCGCATTCCTCCACAATTAATTTAACTATAAAAATTATTTATAGGAGAATTTATGAAATTTATAAACAACTTGTACTCGCTGATATGAGGACAGTTTTCCTTCATACTGAAAATAAAAGAATGCTACATTCAAGTAATATTTATTTGATCAAGTAAAATAATTACTCCAATATTCTTTAGCAAATATTTACTTGAATGTAGCACATTTTTCCTCTAATATATACGTTTCGTTGGGAGCATTTCGTTTGTAAGATCAGATTAACATGAGGTATGAACATCGTACGTGACAGTCATAGAGACGAGAGAAGCGCAAACGACGACGAGATCGAGCAGGTTGAAAGCCGACCGGCAGAACGCGCCGTCGTGGATGATGAAGCCGTATGAAATCATCTTGAGGCAGATTTCGATCGTGAAGACGGCGGTGAAGAAGTAGTCGAAGTAACCCAGTATCTGCAACACAAAACGTCGTTCTTGCCGTTGGTTACGTCATTACGGCTATTTTGGGCGGATATTACGGCAGCTTCGTACGGATACTCCGACTGCGTGAGGAAGAAAGATCGATTCGCCCTTCGGCGCGATCGCGTACCTGATTTCTGTACGACTGCGCTTTCAACGGATCCTCGGCGGCCAACATGGCGGAGGAGATCATAATGCAGACCAGGATGACGTTGCTAAAGTAACTGTGATTGCAGAACCAATGGCATAACACGCGAAACCTGTGAAACGCGATCGAGAAAAAGAAGAGGAAAATGATCGAGGCATGATGTGCGTCGAAATATGTGTGTGAAACGATGTATTCGATATATTCGAGAAAATGGGCGAAGCTTCCCGATTTCGTTCGACTAAAGCGAGGTTCGCGATTAGATAGAAACAAGGGCTTCTTTTTACTTATTAGTGCTCGAGAAAATGAAGAACGCCGATCCAGCCGGTATAGGTTCCTTCTTAGTGGCCATGTTGTATTCGGACATCCTTCGCGGTCTGGCCGACACTTCCTGTCCTTCATCTGCAAGAGGAATCACAAACAACGTAAAAAACCCGTGTTGAGGTTGTACAGGATTATTGATGTACGAAGGGTTATTAAGGAGATTCTTTTTGTACATAAGCACATATTTAAACACTTATATATCTTTTTTCCGTTATCTGTGCGTATGTGCATCAACTGATGCATAAATATAGCATTAATAATAAAAAAAGTAATATTTTCGCATTTGCAATATTGTATATATATTTACACTGAGAGAAAAATATAGTTATTTTCAGGGAAAATATCTTTTTTTCATTTTAACCACAAAAATGGTTAAGAAAACTATTTTTCTAATGAGTGTTACTATAGTGTCAGTGATAATAACCTTACATGCATATTGCTACTATTATTTTTGTGATTAAAATAAGAAAAGGATATTGTTATTCCCAAAAATAACTATATTTTTCTCTCAGTGTACCTCAGCTCGCTTCAAATTAATACTTATTATTTGGATAGCGGAATAAATGTATAAAAGCATAATTTTGTTTGATAGTAAATTTATGAAAGGTCCTCTTGGTGCGCCATTGAAAACACAGCACTTAATGAATGAACCTCCTTAATGGCGAAATATTAAACAATATACAGTCAGTGGACGCAGCACTTTTGCTTCGATGAGCCGCGGAACGCATTCGGGGTATTCAACAAGAAAATTTATTTCATCTTTTTTTATTCTTAATTTTCTTTTCCCAACGCACGCTCCGTGCGAGCCCGCAACGCAAACGCCGTTGTGCGAGTTATCATTGTTGTGAAGTGAGTTTGTGTGTGTTATCAATTATTATATCGAAACAGGAATTATAATTGTTAGATATTGATAATTAGGAATTGTGCGATATGTGAAAATGTGTCGAGTGTTATCGAGGAACGCGCATCTCGGGAAATTAAATACCAGGATACAGCGTGTAATAACGATCTCGTAATAGAGCGGACGTTAAATAATTAAAAAAGAAATAACCGTGTAAACAGCACAATCGATCTCTATCCAGTACTCCGAAGGCCAACTCACTTTGCTGCGCACGTTAGGTCCTGCGAGTCGTCTCGTTTATGCATAGATACACAGGGAAAAGAGATTGGTTGAATTCTCACGTGCCGATGAACGAATCAAACGAAAACGTTTTCGTTAAACAAATTGATTTTCTCGTTCGGCTCGCTCCACCATTTATTATCAATATAACACAATTACGGTTTCGCGAGCGCTTAGCGATCAACGTCGGCGGTATGGGGCGATTCTTTTTTTTAATTTGGCTGGCTAAATAATCGGATAATTAAGCGGTATTACGCTTCATAAAAACCAGAAATTTCGTTCTCTTGAATCATTTCATTGCCACGTTAATTCACAGTCAATTTTTTCTCTCCGCGTAGATAAAAATAAGCCACCGTTGACGAATGCCATTGTATATCACGAACCGGACCGATATCGGGCCAGCATAAAAATTCATATGTTGGAACAATTGAAAAATTCATACGCGCGATTTGATGTTACGCCGGCCAACACGCGTATGCAACGCGAAATCGGCTTAAACTAAGTCGGCTTAAATCCTATTGAACGTATAATATATTTTAATGACTACGCGAATTATATATTTTATTGTATTTTTGTCGCTCTTTTTATCAGAAATATCTGGATTATTAATTATGTAAATGGGGGAGAATTTAATTGTGAATAGGGTAGGTTTAGCACATACCTTGCATCTCTTCCTGCTCGGCTTCCTCCTCTTCTTCCTCTTCCACTTCTTCCTCGTCGGACTCGATGTTGAGTCGCACTTTCGTATGCGTATTCATATCCTCGCTTTTCTCCGATCTATGAGCAGTGGTAATTATTAAACTTTTAACTTTAAACTTTGGACAATAAGGGCTCGCTTTTCTACAGTAAATAATCCCTTATCGTTTCTTGACTGTAAAACTTCTTGCGGTTATTTTCTCCTGATAATATATGCCAAAGTAGGAAGAATGAGAGAAAGAGAGAGAAAGAGAGAGAGAGAGAGAGAGACAGAAGTGAAGATTTTCTTTGAGAAAATTCGTAATGCGTGTGATGAAGATGTTAAGGATTAACATCGCTCTGAATTTCGAGGGTCTTCTCTTCTTAACGATTTGAAGATCGAGAGGCCATGAACGAGAACACAGAGAAACGATAAGTCACACACGTCAAACATATCCTTAGTCCTTGGACCGTGATTATCGACTTCTGTAAAGATCTCCGTATGTTATCAGCCGCGATAGCATTACACAAGCGAAGACGCGTAATACCGACCGCCAATCTCATTATTGTAATAATGTACGCCGTCGTTAGAACTTACGTTATGTTACATTATGAGAGAGCTTACGTTTCGGTATCTAATGCGGCCTCGTAGTCCTCCATTGTCTCGTTAGGATCGTGTTCGAGATCAGTACCGGCGCCTTCGTCCTCTCCCCCGGTCCCCTCACCGCCATCATCGCCAGCTTCGCCACTGACTTCGTCCCTCGCCGGCGAGCCGCTGTGAGATTTATTTTTTTCCGCCTGTGCAAAGCAGAAAACAGACGGAGAGAGGGACATTCGGATAGAACATCGTCGAATAATTCGCGCATAGAAGAAAAAAGGACCGAATTCGAGTAAATAATTACTCCAATACTCCTTAGTGAATATTTTTATCTGGATCGAATAATATTTACAAGTGAAAATTTGCTAAGGAGTATGAGTAATTATTAACTTGAATCCAGCACTTTTTTTCTATGCGATATTAATAAACGACTGATATTAATGTGAAAAGATGAGTGAAAAACAGACGCAAATTACCGGAAAAGGAAAAAGATAACGAAGAAATTAGAACCGTCATAAAGATTTCTTTTACGGCCAAAAATAAATCGGATGATTCGACGAATCTATAACTTGCTGGGCAAACTTATTAGGGTAATAACTAAGCAGATTCGCTCGAGTAGCAAAGAAATTACGTGTGAAACGAATATCAACCTATTCAGAACAAACCCGTTTTTGTGGATATTGTCTTTAATGATTGCGGTAAATTTGCATTTCGTATATCGAGCCAGTTTAAGCCCGTAAAACAAATTCAGTAGCTTATTTACTGCGGTTCGTGAGTCACGATCGTAGGATCGCGTGGGTCGGCCAGTAGTAAAAGAAGCGTAATGGTCACATCGAGTCGTTTGATCCAATCGATGTAATATAATTTGGAGAACCTCAGACTCAATTACTCGTGTGCTCGCCGCGGAGCCCGAGCGAGACGACGCGACATATAAACAATTGATCAACGTTCCGCTAAGAAAGAAAGAAGTAATAATTTAGCTGATAAATTAAAAGGATCGACCAGAGGACGCGAATTTCAGCGGCGCGATAACGTCGAATTAATATCAAAACACTCTGTTTGTCCATTTCTAATAAATCGGAACCAATTAAACTCCGCAGCTAACATTGTTCCTGGACAATTAATACCATTATTATGCGAAGCTCTTCCAGCGAACTGATAACGCATTTTCGCGAGCGCCGGCGAGTAAACAGCCGTGCGCGTGTAAATATTTGACTTATGATTACTATCGCGAAGCGTTTGTTGAATTCGCACCAGTCGATTATTATTTCGTTGACGCGCCCGTTAACGGAAATAACGTTTGCGAGGGAAACGTGAATATATTCGACTACGTTAGTTTGCGCGGCGTAACGTTCGAGCGAGAGACGAATGCGACGGATGTACTCGCGATAAAAAGTTTGATCCGGCAAGAAGAGAGGGAGATGAAGAGATAAAGAAAGAGAGGAGGAGGGAGGGGAGGAAGAAAACAGTAAACTTCTGTATTGCCGCGATCTCGTGACTTGGAAGTGCATGCCCGGCCGCGCGATGCAGCTCGCGCTGAAAGAAGACGACACACTTCTTTTACTGCTTGTAAAAGAGCTTTGTTCGTAAACAACAATACGTATCGTACTATCGTCCGCCGTACGTTCGATCCGCAGTATCGGCACGTCCCGCTCAGTCCTGTGACTTGCGCGCCATCGTCGCTGGGAAAAAGCGCGAGTCGTTGACGATAGAGTTGCGTACATTAATTTAAACGTTTAATTTATGTTTACCCGTGTATCCGTGTAAGAAATTTTTCGACATCTAATTCGAGATACAGTTCGATTTCCCAAAATAAATGCATTCCAATTGGAAAATCTCTACATAGTAAACAATTTTTAAAACGGTCCATTGGAATTTTGTGTTACTTTAACATAGGGAATGTGTTAAAAAGTATGCAAATATATATTAAAAAGTACACAAATATAATGTTAACATATTCTCTTCATCAACATATATATGACAAAGTGAATGTGTTAATTTAACATTATATTTATGTACTTTTTAATATACATTTTCCCATGTTAAAGTAAGACAAAATTTCGGTATATCGCTTTTTACACAAAATTTTTTACCGCATGCAAGTTCTGGTTAAAAGTGTGACCCCTTAAGCATACGATTCTAAGTGGATGATATAAATAGATCATATTTAGATTCCAACGTTTTCGCAAAGATTGTTTCTAGTTTCCATTTTGCGCTACGATTGAACAAAATATACCGAAAGTATGCACACTTTAAATATTCATACTTTATAAATATATACACACGCGCTACACGCACGCTATAAAACATGGTAACGTTAAAAATGTAACTGAATTTATTAACCTCCTAATCTGATATTCGGTCAAACTGTTACTCGAGTCTAGTAATGATAGTTGCATGCGGCAGGACATGACGAATCAATATCGAAAAGAGGCTTGGGATGAGAGATATATGAAATAAGAGAGAGAGAGAGAGAGAGAGAGAGAGAGAGAGAGATTTCCAATTGATAATAGGATAACCTATTTCGGGGCAACTTTGGGTATTCTAATTGGAATCTATGCTGTATAAAATCGGGAAAAATTTCTATACGGGTAATAAATTACACGGTAATTTATCGTTTCGCGATTGCCACGTGGCAAGGTAACGGCTGTGAACTTCGACGTGTAACGTCAAATACAGGATGCACGGCTAAATAGCACGGCGAAAATGCACGACGTACCACTATATTGCGCGCAACGAGATTTGTTGAGTCGTGCGTTAAAAATGTACACCTAATGTAGATTGTAATTTCCACCGCGCAGTCAACGGTTTTTCATCAAGCCTGTTCGGTTGTTATCGAGCAAGCGTAGTTAACCAGCTTTTAAACTTTCGCCGCTGCGGCTACAAACTACGTTACGCGAGCAAAAGTACGTTGCTTGCGCCTCATAACTTCGTGAATCGCAACGCGTGCGCATCTGATAAGGGAAACAAGCATCCTTTCCTGTGTAACGCCCGTGTTAATTCGGATAATTCTATATCGTTTCACGTGTTGCGTGAAAAATGATCTTTTTCGTCGTAAATTGAGAGATTTATCTTTTCATCGGAATCTGAATTAAAGATTCATAGCTGCTGCTGATAAAAGTCACGCAACACTTAAAAAAGTTATAATTTACACCGTAGCTTACCAGAGTTATCATTTTTGCGATTTATAATATGTATAATAATATGTGTCATTTATAATATGTATAATAATATGTATAATAATAATGATGATGTATAGCACAGAATTGGGAAAATTACTTTTTCAAAAATATCTCGTTGTTATCATCGTTATTTAACAAGAGAAAAAATAGATTGCTGGCCCAGCAAATCCTGTCGCGGCAAAATCTGTCAGTTACTATGTAGAAAATGATTTATTAAGAGTGCCAATTGCCCTTTGCTGTATCATTTTGCTGAATCCACAAATTATTTTGCTGTTAGAACAAATTGATAAAAAAACATTATTTTCTTCTAACAGAAAATTAACGTGTTCTAAGGACAAAATTACCAAGCAGAATATTTTTTATCCTGGCAATAAAACTGTTTCCAGTCAAGTTACAAATAATTTGCTCATTTGTTCATGTCAACTAAATTTTATCGCTGTTGCAACTAATATACGTTGAGAAAAAAAGACGTAAAAGTTTATTTGTGAAATATAAAGTTTATTTCACAGAAGTAAATGTTTATTTAAATATGACGAAATAAAATTTTATTCCTAGCAAATAATAGGAAAATTCAAGTATATTTCAGAAAAATATATATTCCGTCATCACAGTCAAGTTTTTTTCTTCTAACCAATAAATATCGAAGAAAATATCACAAGAGACATCTTCTTCGCAAAATTTCAATATTTTTTTTTCAGTGTACAGTATCAACGATGGTGTCGCTACAAGAGCAAAATTATTTTTCTTCGTGAAGTCGTTATATGTATACTGGAAAAAACAAAAGCACCAGTTACTTGCCAACCCTGTATGTATGGTCGAAAGTGTGTTTCTTGCACGACAACTATCGATGCTAGCGGATTTTTTTCTGCATATTCTGATCTCTCTCGAACCAATATTGCCAAGGTATGATAAACTTCGCGCGACGATATCCTGACACAATAATAAATGCGATAAACGCATCTCACGCGTGCCGTTGGAACGTGGCAGAGGGAGAAAATTAGAACGGCACTTTTTTTATCGCCCTTATACGAGCGTTGAGCATGACACTCATTTATCCTCACGGGGGATGAGAGTCGTCTTGTCGTCGTCGCCGTCGTTGTCATGCCTGCAGACTCATTCGAGCGGGCTTGCCGTGTCCATAATGTGCCTCGTGATACCCACTTGTCGTAAATGCTTCACGCGATGCAAATACGCACTTCGCTTTGCCGCGAAAGGGGCGCGCGCGCGCGGTCAAATCGGCTTGATCGTTTATGGAAATACGGGAGAAGGAGCTGCTCGTGCAAAAGATTTACACGATTCTAAAGCACCGGCGGGATAATAACGTGCATTTGAATTAATTCGCTTCCTCACGTCAAGGCTTTTCTTGCGATGAAATATGATGGATGATCTCGGTGCGACTCATTAATTTAACGAAGAGATTATAAAATGCCACTCAATAGGAAAGAAAGCTGCTATGTAAGAAGCACTTCGGACGTCAATATTATTTTTTATATGTGAATACGAAAAAAAAGAATTTTACTGATGTACGCTGAGAGAAAGTACTTAAAAATTTATCTATAGAATATAAGGTTTATTTCGCAAAAATAAATCTTATTTCTGTGGAATAAACCTTATATCCTATAAATAAATTTTTAAATATTTTTTTTCTCAGCGTACACCAGCAAAATTCTTTTTCTCCCGCAAATAAATTTTTAAATATTTCTTTTTAGTGTAGCGAAACCATCGTTGCCATTGCATATCCGTTGCGACAGCGGAAAAATTCAGTTGGCATAATCAAATTAGCGAATTATTCGTAATCAGAACAGTTTCGTCGCCAGGATAGAAAATGTTCTGCCGAGTGGATTTGTCCTTGGGACACGTTAGTTTCCTGTTAAAATAAAATAGTGTTTTTCTACATTTATTAATTTGCTCTTGCAGCAAAATAATTTGCAAGTTCAGCAAAATAATCCAGTGAATGGCAATTAGTACTCAATCGTTCTTCTATCCGCATAGTAACCGACAGATTTTGCTGCGACAGCATAAACTTTGCCGTGTCAGCAAATTATTTTTCTGTATATACACACATAACAGGTGTTGCAAGAATATCATGCAAAATTTTAATAACCTATTCTGGAGCTTAATTGGAGGTAAAAATCCTAACGTGAGAATATCGAAGCGAATCATTATGTATCGCACCTTTTCCAATGTTTAATACTGTATATCTTTGTAACTAAGTTTTCCCTTAAAATTCTCTGCTCGAGCGCACCTCACCTGAAATTAGCTGGAGAATGTAATTTTATTATCGATTCGGCTCCTTGAAGCTTGGTTCGCGGAGGGCTAAAAAAGTGCCGGTGCTTCAGCAACTTCGGATTAGACTTTCGAGTCTGATCCAAAATATGCTGCAAAATACGGAACAAAAAATACCTTCGAAAAAGCTCCAAAGTATTGCCCGATGCTTACGGGGGTTTCGCCTCGCATGCGTGCATTATAAACAACACAACCGGGAAAATTATAACTTCGTTGAATTACAACGCATAAATTATAACTTTCGCAGGTGTCACGTGACTTTTATCGGCGACGGCTATGAATCTTTAATTGAGGAAACGACGGCGAGAGATAACCTCCTTAATATAGAATTTCGTCGATGGGTGCGCTGAGGCGCGTCTAATGAAGCGCCCCGCGGTATACATATTAAATTCACGCGCGCATTACGCCCGCGAGATCATCAGCGTGATATCTAACACATAATGTACATTAAAACGGGATAATACTCACCTCCTCCTCGGCCTCCTTCTCGATGGCAGTCAGGGACTCGGCATCGGCGAGATTGTCGACGGCGATAGCCAAGAACACGTTCAAGAGGATATCTGCGTTGCTATCTTTGTCAAGGATCGATTAAAATTCATTAGATCCGACGAATGAACGAGCGAGCGGGTCGATATATCGCGCGAACCGGACGCGACAATTATTCATCAGGATCGTCACTCCGGATGACAAAAGGATACAGTTGCCGCATATGAAGAGGATGATGAAATAAACGCAGGCAAGCACACCGATGCTGGCGACGCCGCCGTAAGCCTGAATCCCCACGTACATCACAGCGTTCCAGTCCTCGCCGGTCAGTATCTGGAAAGCGAGGAACGCAAATATACCTCGTCGCTTTTAGAAGCGTGGAAAATAGAAAGGAAAAATAGAAGCGTGAAAATAGAGAAGGAAAGAGAGAGAGAACGCGAGCGAGCTGCTATTTTCACGATAAATCAAGAGCGTAATTTTTGCGCGGGCGCAATTGAGCACGCGCTCGCTCGCGGAATTGCGCTCCACCACCGGCTCTACTTTCCGCTCTCCTCCACTCCTACCACTCTCTTCGCACGCGAGATACCTGAAACACGGTGAGCAAGCTCTGCCAAAAGCTGTCGAAGTTGTGACGTGTCTTCTCCTCCTTGTCGCTGAAATTGAACTTTCCACCGAAGACCTATTTGGGGAATAAACGTTGAAAAATAAATGAGTCGCGACGCAGCCCAGCGTGTTCGGTCTGCCTACCTGCATGCCCAGAAGAGCGAAGATAACAATGAAAAGGAAAAGTAGGAGCAACAGGGAGGCGATCGATTGTATCGAATTCAGTAGGGAAGCCACCAGATTCGACAGTGATCTCCAATATCTGCAACAAAGAGGGAAACGCGGCTCGTGAGATATCGTGCTATTGTCAATGTTTAATGCGCTCTCTTACGGGGGTACTTTGCGATCAAAGAAGCTGATATCGTGCAACGGACATCGTTGACGCGAGTTCAGGGAGAGCGGAGAGCACGCTGAACGTTTGAGAAAGATTTTGATCGCGAAGAGATCGGACTCGACATTTCGTTATACTCACTTGGTTACTTTGAATACCCTGAGCAGCCGGACGCAACGGAGTACGGAAACGCCAAGAGGCGGCATCACCTCTGTATTTGTAAAGATCATCTCGCTGATCGAGCCGATCACGACGAAGCAATCGAAGCGATTGAACAGCGAGACAAAGTAACCCTGCGAAATAAACAATGATATATGACGCGTGATCGCAGTCGCTCGCTGGAAAAAACACGTCGCGTCTCTTTCTATTAGCGCTGTCAGCATAAACGGGCTATTTATCACAGGGTTGGGGAAGTTACTTCTTAAAAGTGACCGTTACTATTATTGAAGAAATAACGGGTCACTGCAATTTCCGTTATTTTTACACCAAGTTTCGAAGACCCTTTACACGCAGAAAAATGTTAGTCCACTACCAAGAAAGGCGATTAAATCAGTTTATCTTCCTTCTTCCAAGTAATGATTATCTTCAACGAAAAATGTTTTATCTTCTTGATAATAATCTTAAAATATGCTCATCACAAACTTTAAAAAAACTCGTTATCGCGTATCAAGAAAACAATTTATTCTCCTTCCAAAAATATTATATAAAACTATATCGGAGAAAAAGTCAGATTTTCGATTAATTTATAATAAGCCCGATTTTTGTTCTAATATTTTTGATGAAAAATACTGAACTTATTAGGATTCGAATATATTTTGTGGAAATTTGATGTTTATAATAAACTTGTAATATCTTTGCGGATATAGAAACTTATGAAAAAGATATTTGAAACAAGTCATATTTATTTGTATGCAGTATGTGTTTTTCTGTGTGCAAATTAACGGTGAAAATAACGCTTATGTTCATCACCGTTATCCCCCCAAAATTGTGCTACCGTTATCGTTACTAATAAAAAAAAGATAAAATGGTTACCAACTGATTATTGAAAAAATTAAAATAGACAATATGTCCTCCCACATTAGTTTAATAATATAATCGCTAAAAAACCGATTTGGCTCTTGTCGTTCTATTTCTCCATGAAAGAAATAATTTGGAACGGCGTTACGAACGTTACGCGTTATTTCTCAACCCTGTTATCTCTATCAGCCGGCCAAATTCGAACAACACGACGACAGCTCGCTCACCTGAAAGCCTAAACTGTACATCTTCAGCATCATCTCCATGGAGAACAGCACGATGAAGAACGTATTCGTGACGTCTGCGCAGAGAAGAGGGCGGGCTCGCATTATGAAGTGCGCATTAACCAAAAGTTTCGTGACGATTTATAATTGAAGGCAAACGCAAAGCCCCGAACGCGAGTCAACTTTATTTCCGCCAGCCGGCGGCCACGGGTATTTACCTTGAAAGTCGTTCAACCAACGCGGCTGATTGTAATGCTCCGTGGCGAGAACGCCGGTATTCAAGAAAACCAAAACTATGATGAGCCAATAGAAGACCTGGGACTTTACAGCCTTCCTGCAGGCTCGCCTCATCCGTCTATTCACTCTGCAAATTTTCGCGGCACAATGCCGTACAGTACAAACATCTCGTTCGCCCACTCGTACCACAGAATGCTCAGAAGGCTCTTTGAAGTTGTCGAATAAATGACCCTTTGATCTTCATCGCTCGTTTTCTACGTGTACGCGCGAAAGTACGACGGTTTTCCCAATTATAAATGATTCGCGGAAATTTGTACTTTAGAACCCTCTCTCAGGTCTGTTATTAATAGTCGTTACTTGAAACTTGTCTCACACACAAATGAAATACTCGGATTTCAATTTGGTGTTTTATGTGAATCTTTCAGTCGAATCATGATTACAAACATCATGTTACGTACATCGTATGATTCAACTAAAATCTCAGATTTAACTGTAAATTCTAATCCGTGTAGAGGAGAATATCGCTTAATGCGTATTAATCATCTAAATCGTATCTTATTATTTTGTAATAATTGAATACAAATGCAATCCGGTGGAATAAATGTATGAAATAACTGAGCAGTGAAAAACACTATCAAATCTATGATCGAATTGCACTATGTTTTTGTGCGTGATACAAACACTTTAAAAAAACCATTATATAAAAGATTTACCTCATAAGGACAAAAATAATTTGCTAGCACAGCAAATTTTATTCTACAGCAAAATCTGTCGGTTGCTGCATGGACAACACAACAATTTACTAAGCTGAATTATTTTGCTGAATTGTACGAATTATTTTATTGCGACAACAAATTGGTAAATGTAGGAAAACACTATTTCATTCTAACAACAAATTAACGTGTCCCAAGGACTAATTTACTCAGTAGAATATTTTCTATCCTGGCAACAAAACAGTTTCTGTTCTAATTGCGAATAATTCATCGATTTAGTTATGCCAACTAAATTTTATTGCTGTTGCAACGAATGTATAATAGCAACTATGGTTTCGCTGCAGCAGCAAAATTATGTTTCTCCATGTAAATAGCGTACGATTTTGGCAACCCGGCCCCATCTCATGTGAGTAAAGTTCCAAGTGACGATTAACGCTCGCCACGATCGTCAAACGCGTAAAATTATTGTATAATTCTTCAAGCATTGCTTCGAATTAAAAATACCGGAAGTTGATCCCCAACATCAATTTTCGTATTTTCCTTTTTTTACCTATCCAAATCTCTCTTCTTCTTCTTCCAAACGGACTCCTGTTGGATGCCCTCTTCGTCGCCCTCCAATTGGTCCGTGCTTTCCATTTCGTTCTGTTGCTTGGCTATGTAATATTCAACGTTGAAACTCAGTCAATTAATTAGCATGCTTCGACCAGAATAATATTCAGCCAGAGATAGAGATAGAAAGAGAGGGAAGGAGAAAGGAAGAGGGAGAGACAGAGAAAGAGAGAGAGAGTGAGGGGGGGGGGGGGGGNTTAATGTGAGCAACTCTCGAATTTAATTTGCGCGCCTTTCTCTCTCTCTCTCTCTCTCTCTCTCTCTCTCTCTGTGCGCTAACACGCGATATCTGGGAAGATTGCGCAAATAATTGAAATGTATTATTTCCCCCGATCGTAAAATTAAATATCTCGCGGGAATAAACGTATAATTACGCTTTTCCGGCATTTTGGAAAATTACCGCACGGCCGTAATCGAGACGGATGAGATGTTGACGCGAAATACAACGCGGATATTCGCATCGAATTATTATTTGATACATTTATTTCGCGGACGTGCACGCGCGCTTTTCATCTCGAAGGTCTGAAAAATTGGAAATTGAATTTCAAATCCGGGATAAGGGATCGAGGAGGAGAGTGGGGGCATACCCCGCATACATACATTTTCCGTCTTGCATCTTCGGCTCGTCGGTCTCCGGCTCGATGTCCTCCGCCTGCGTTATCCAGTCGAGGTAACCCCTGAGATCGTCCTCGATCTGCTGTTTCTCCCTGAGCTTGTGAAAGTCACCCCGCGCCTTCGCCTTCTCTCTCTCCTTAGAGAATTCACTGCGCCCGGGGGAGGGAAAGAAGAGAGCGGGGTATAATGCATGTGTAGTGGTGTCGTCGCGCTCGTGATTAGAGGTGCGCGCGAGACGCGCGTAATTGGAACATTCAAAGGCGCGATGAAACAGAAATCGAGATTCACGCGCGCGCGCGTGAAAAGAGTCCGGTTTATTTGCACGCGCCGCACGAAGCACTCGTCTCGCGAGCGAACGAGCGAGAACGACGCGCTGTAAATGCATCTACGTGTATCGGGGGAAAGAACGAGCGAAACGTGACGATGGCGGCGACGACGACGTTTCTTGTTTACAATCTCCTCTCTTTCATACGGCGAGCAGAATAGAACCGGCGATCCACGCCGCCGAGGATCTAACTATCCGTGGTGTAACGCTTTTTGATGAAAGCGCGTCCCGATGAAAAATCCCTTCGACAGTCGTCCCGCTTTCATTCGAGACGCGAATTTTAATGCGCAAGACTCCGTCCGTCCCATAGAATCGAGGGAAGTTTCTTAATTAGGTAATTAATCGGGGCTGTTGCCGCCATTTTTATCTGTTTCCGATATTTTTCTTTTCTTTTTTCCTTTATTTTTTTTAAGAATCCAGAGGAATCGGAAGAAGTCACATCTCATATTCCAGCGAGACTACCGATTTGAGTGATCAAAATGTGTTTCGAGTATTTGCCTCGCGGCGTTTCCGCTAACAAGACGTTTGTGCGCTTTGCGTTAAACGATGAATAAAACGTAAAAAGGGAAAGAAGTTAAACGCGCGCTTATCACCGATATCGTTTTATCACGCCTCGATTACCCACGCATCTTTTACCGATATGCAACGGAGTGTGTGTGTGTGTGTGTGTGTGTGTGTGTGTGCGCGCGCGTGCGTGCGTGCGTGCGTGCGTGCGTGCGTGCGTGCGTGCGTGTGTGTTAGCATAAGAGAAAGATATTTTTATCTCGCCCCCTCATCGCAAGAATTGCAAAACCTCGCGAGGAGAGACGTCGTCGACTAACCGAGTTACATCCTCCGAAAGGATCGTCTGACGAATCGCGAAGAACGGTCACTCCGATTACATCACAAATGTCGGCTTATATTTAAATGAAACGCGAGATATTAGATTTATTACTCAAAACGTAGAGAAGACCGAGGCTAGTTGGTTAATTAATTATTTCTGATGCTTTTTAACAAGTTATTCTATTGTTTTCTAATAGAATCGAACAAGTAGAGATTTCATAATCATCTTTGACTTGCTTGAAGTCTCTGTCTGCTCGATTCTGTAATCTGTTAGAAAATAGCAGAAATAATCGATTAGCCAGCCTGCCCTGGTCTCCCCTATCTGACAACATCAAGTTGCGCTCGGAAAAATAAAACAGCAGGCCAGAATTTATTCTCTCGCAACGAAAGCTCGGTGGTTTACGGAAGAGAATTTCTCTCGTCACTTACCCGGACAACACACCGAGAATTAGATTCATTACGAAGAAGGCCCCGAGAATGACCATCGAAATGAAGTATATCCACTGCCACGAGCTTCCCATCGCATCCTCGATCTGCGAACGCACGATAAAACTCGATTATGAAAATTATCTGGGCCCTCGAGCAATCGCCAATTCCGTTGAACGAACAAGAACTCGAAGAAACGATTAATTGAAGTGCTACACGATCAATTTAGATCCGATATAATAACACGTTCTCTTACTGGTATATTACGTGGAATAATACGGATCCAACTAACGCGTGACAAATTTTAAGCATAGCATGAAAAATTTCTCGGTGTCTAACCGAGAATCCAGTCCGATTTCCCGATTTCAAAAATAAAGGACTCTGGTTGGGAAATTTGCGCAGATTCAGGTTAAAAGAATGATGTTTCAGACACGCGAATCTAAATGGGAAACCCAGATATTCCCATTGGCTCCCTTAACGTTTTCCCAAAAATCTTTCTGGTTTTTACTTTGAATTGAACAACATATGTGAAATGTTTTGAATAATTGCATTTCACAAGTATAAATATATGTATAAAATTTGTAAGTATTCAAAGTGTTTTAAATATTTTGTTTTATTTTTTCCCTATTTTTTATTCTACTATATTTTATCTTATTCCATTTTTATTGTGTTCAACAGTTGATATAAAAATGGAATCACCTATTTGATTCCATAAAAGCGTATCGATTTTATATACTAAAAAAGCGCGAGTTTTTTTTACAATACTTTTGTTGTTTGATACTAGACGGAGAATTGATTTTTGGAATAAAAGTTTTTGGGATTTGTTAGTTAGTATCGTAGTGAGGTAACCTATATTTTGAGATAAATTTAGGCATTCTGATCGGAATCAACTGCTGCATCAGTTTTGAAAAATTTCCGTACGAGTAATTATATTAGTACACGGTAAAAAAATATGTGTTACAAACAGTCCGCTTAAATTTTGTGTTACTTTAACATAGGGAGAACGTTAAGAAGTAAGGAGAATGTTAAAAAGTACCCAAATATATTAAATTAACACATTCATCTTCTTAACATTCTTACTTTTTATATATTCATCATAAAGTTAAAGTAGCACAACAATTTTGGCGGACCGCTTGTGACACAAAATCTGTATAACTTTAACTTTATATAGAACCAACAGCACAAATAGCGAATATTAATTACTCATGACGCGAGTTCTCGTTGCATAACAGAAAGATTTGGCCGAACATATAAAACCACTGGCTGATTCATGCCGCGAGCGGGCGAACGCCGGCGCCCGGTCGCAGCGACTTTACATTGTAAAGCACGTCCGTCCAGCCCTCGAGGGTGACGCATTGGAAGACCGTGAGCATGGCCAGTCCGAAATTGTCGAAATTCGTGATGCCATAGTTGGGACCCTCCCAGAACTGTTTGCTGCAGTAGTACTCGGGCCCGACCCGAGAGCACTGGAAGCCCCCCTGGCCACAAGGTACTGGATCGTCCATTATCTCGTCTGCGATATAAAGGAGAATCAAATTTTTAATCCCGATATAACGAAGGCAGCAGCGGCGGCGGCGGCTGAGGCATAATGAGGTCGGCTCTATAGCGGCTGGCGCTGAAACTTCTAATTGGTTCGAGCCAGCCGCGAACGAAGTTTAACATGTCGTAATATCCCGTTAAAATGTTTGCATATTTTTTCCATGCGAAACGTATATAGCAGCGGCTACTTTTTCCGCACCACCGGTGCGATTTATCGACCTGCCCGCCTGGCGTTTCTTCAATATATTATAGGTCGATTAAGAGCAAGCTTCGATAACATCATTGGAACTATAAATAATGCCCTGACTGAAACCATCAATGCGAGAAACCTTGATCCATTGTCGAATTACGTTAAAAAGAAAGAAACAGATGTCAATGTCTTAACAGAACGGAGGAATGCCAAACGTTCGCACTCTAAATTGATTAATGATAATTAATGCTAATGATAATTAAATTAATTTATAAGTTATCGAGGTATAAGCCGATTAGCAGAAATTATATTTCGTCAAAATAATTTATAATTGTTCCGGAATGCACTTTCCGGAAAAATACAGTGCCGGAAATTTTTGGAATTAATGACACGATTAATTCTAATTGTTCAAATGATATTACTAAAATTATATTATTAAAATATTATATTGGAATAATAAATAGAATATTACTAAAACAATAGATATTAGTAGAACGTAAATATAGAACGGAGAAACGTCAAATGATCGCAATGATATTTGATCAATATGAATTAATAATTAATATAAATCCAGAAAAATATTTGTCGATTAACAGAGAAGTCAATTATAATTAGTTGGAATAATTTCTAATCATTCCAGAGAGAGAGAGAGAGAGAGAGAGAGAGAGAGAGAGAAAGGGGGGGGGGGGNTTTAATCTCGAAAGTTTTTTGATATAACAACACAATTATTTCTAAATGCTCAAATGATATTACATATAGAAAGAAGAGCAACATCGAACAATTGTAATGTCAATCTATCAACAAGAATTAATAATTATTATAAATTAATAAAAATTATCAAGGAATCGGAGCGACTATTAACCAAAGACGATTCCAATTTGATTAAATAATTTCGAATCGTTTGAGAATCGGCTCTGCGAAAAAATACGATCTCGAAAATTTTTCAAAATGACACAATTGCTTTTAATTGGTCAGAATATATAATTAGGCTCAGAAGAAGTTTATGTAGAGATGTTCCGAAATGTCCGATTTTACGAGCTAGCACCTAGAGGGTCGTAATTCTTCGTTGGGAGGAAGCTTGGCGGGGACGGCGGACGACTCGTAGTTCGTAGTAGCTTTCGTATCGCCCGGGACGTGCACACGCTATTTTACGCATTCCCGTGAATCAGCTGTTCGCAGTGCGGTACGCAAAAGTCGCGCTCGCGCGCCGCCTCTCGCGCTAATAATAATTAGACGTTAGTTTCTCGGCTGAATCATATCTAAAATAGCCGCCCCGGCGGAAAGTGTGTTTCGAGGCTAAGCCGGGAGTTCCCTCAGAGCCCTCCGCCAAATTCTCCTCCCCTCCCATCCTCTGTCGCGATTCCACGAGCTGAATTCACGAGATGACTCCTACTAAGAGTATCCCGCGATTTCTGAATTATTCAGGCGGTCCCGCAACATTTCGTATCTCCGCTCTCGCTAATTTTTTATCGCCTCGCCTTGCCTCGACGAAGAAAACGAGCTCAGATAAATTCCTCGGGCATTTAGACGAACACCCGGCAGTTCCGATGCAATGCTCGAATCTCGAGCTTCTCTCTCCCTCTCTCTCTCTCTCTCTCTCTCTTTCTCTGCGATCGTCTCTAACTTCAAACGAACGGTCTTTTTAGTGGATTGATATTTCTCCCAGCGGAATCGCGTTTGTCGAAATCGATCAGAGGCTACGTGAAGTCTCGCGGAGGTAGACGTTCACCTCGAAGGTTAATTTTGGATCACGAGCGTGCATGAGGAATCCGACAGATTGGCGCATTAAATCGCGCGGTTAAATCAGCTGATTTTTTAACAATTCGTCGAACGCTAGAATCACTCGTACACGCGGCAAAAACGGCAAAACGTTAATATAGAGCTTCTCGACTAGAGAAGGTGCCAGAGATTCTGAATTCAAAATGTAATAAATTCGAGAACGTCCGCCGAGCATCGATCCGACGTGTCCGTCGAAGACGCGAGAGCGTCGTTGCCAAGAGTATGTTCGTGAAATTTTTATGCATTATTGTTTCTTCCCCCCCCTCCCCTGTACGCAGTGAACCTGGAACATGTACTTACCAGTCCCGTTGTGTCTGCATGTTTTGTGCATCTTCCCGGAGAACAGCTCGAGGCCGATGATGGCGTAAATGATGATGACAAAGAGAACTAATAAAGCGATGTGCAAAAGTGGTATCATCGCCCTCAAAATAGAGTTCAAGACCACCTGAAGACCTGCGTGAGTGAACGTGCGAGACTTAACGGTCAATTCCGTGTCACGTTAATTTACTCGACTCTCGACGCTCCAACATCAACGAGAGAGAAAAGGACTCGTTAATTTTACTGAAATCTATTATAGTTATATTCTCTCGGCAAACATGGTGTTTATCGTCCTGACAATAAAATATAATAGCAGCAATTTGTATATTAGGATCTTATCGCTAGTACTTGTGCTGCTATAGCAGTACTTGTTGCAAAATTGGTTTTTCTGACTGTAATGATTTCGCTGTACATAGTAAAAAATTGTGTGTTTAAAATGGTTCGCTGAAACGTTTACGTTACTATAATATATTCATTTATTGAAGTAACACAAAAATTTCAGTGGCCGGTTTTAATAGAAAATTGTTCACTATGTGTAATAACAATCATAATTATTACAGTTATCAATAGTCACACAAATGCCAGATAAATATCCTTTTTTCTCTGATCGTCGTAATGGCGCCACTCGAAATTTCTTATTGAATTCGAAGAACGCTGCGGCAGCGGCTTTTGGGTTTTAAATTTCAATCAGAACCACCTACGGTACTGTAGCGAAATTTCGGACGGCGCCGCTGCGGCGCCGCTGGAGCACAAACAGTTGAGTTTCTCTACGCGACACTTAAACAATACTCTTCGACAATAACAACATTTGTAGGTCTCAATCGACGTCTTATACGTAAATCGCCTCAAGATTCATTTAACTTCTCGTGGAATACGCTTCTTTCACGCGAGCGACATTATTCGCGACAAAATCAATATTTCGGGCAGAGTGTCTTACTTGGAACACCGGAGACCAGTCTGAGAGGACGCAGAACACGAAACGCCCTTAAGGCCTTGACGTCGAAACCCTCCTTCATGAGTATCGTCAGCACTGTGCTCACCATACTGAAATGAAAAGCGCCGCGAATTTCATTCCTTTTTTTCGTTTCTTTTATTTCTTTTTCTGTATATCAGGTAAATGAAAATTAATGACTTATGACTTATGATAAAATGGAGAGACACGGTGAAAAAGACCGAAAGCCACCTCGCCGGGAAATAAATCGCTCCTGAAGGGAAGATTTATGTGCCGAGGCTAACGGCATTATAAACGCTGTCATTTATGAGAACATTCACGAGCTAAGCGAGCTAAGCGGCCTAAGCCATTTATGAAGAAAAAAAAGGGAAGAGGCAGAGCGACGTAATGAATTTTTCCAAAGCGACAGAATGTCTCTTTGACCTGGAAAGGACTCCTCTCGAATCTTTATATGTTTCCGGCGGTTGCGATACCTCCGTGTTTACCTTTTCGCGAGTCACGCTCGCCGTAAACGCTCAGCAAACACGACGAAATTTTGGCCCTGTGTTAAACCTTTAATTCTACAACATAACAGGAGCTAAAATAGCAAAACAGATTTAATTTCAATTCTAATAGTATAATATAAATCCTATTTGACTTTGACGATGATACCTTAAAATTTCGTTTTCATTGTTTTAACGTCAAAATAGTTGTTGAAGTTGTTGAAAGTAGCATTAAAATTCAATCTGTAGAATTAAAGGTTTAAGCGAGAAATTAAAAGGTGTCGATATTTTTAACTCTATAGTAAGTCTTCAAGTGAAGAAAACAGCAATAACTTTCTCATTTGTAGCATCAAAGGAGCACAATAGAAGACTTAAACATTTAACGTAGAACTAAATTAGATTTAAACTAGGACTAAAATTTCGACTCAAGTATCGTCAAAGTAGGTTTTTATTAGTCTACAGGTCATCTAAGTAGGTGCAAACTATCCTTAAAGCGTAAACTACAATGAGAATCTAAGACTTAAGCTTGAAACCTTAAGCCAAGAGAAATGAACCGATCACAGCCGAATGTGAGAAGAATAATCGATTGGAATTACTGAATTTCTTGCGGTTCGAGGCTTAAAGGTAAGTCTTACGGCTGAAATTCTCATTGTGGATACCACTGAGGAACGTCAGAATAGCATGAAAATTTCGACACGGACGTTCGGACCGGCGGTCGTCAGGCAAAAAGGAAGGAAACGATCATATCTACTCCGGTAAGACAATTTCGCGTATCATCGACGGCTGCGTTTTCCTCGCGCGTTAGGCCCTGCGTCATTTGAATAATGGCCACGCGTAATGGTCGACTCAGGGAGATGTGCATGTTCTCTCCCGCGGGACATTAAGGCGGATCGATTGCCGTGTCGTTAACCGAAAGCGATAAAGTTATCAAGGCAGCCGCAGGAGCGAAAGAGCGACACGTCAGGCCGCGCACCGAAACGGGTAGTTACGATCTCTCTCGGGCGGATTACGAGCGGCGATCCGCCGCGCTCGCTGGCCGCTAAAATAATTTCGCCGACGACAACGTCGACGATCGCGGTTCATTAACCGGGAAAACAGCGGTCCGGCCGACATGCTCTGTTTGTCAACTTCTCCACAGCATTTTATATGCCATTAGAATATGTACACGTGTACGCGAGCGAGCGCGAGCGAAAACGGGTGTGTACCCTCCTCTCCTGTTTTCTTTATTCCTGCAAAAATCGATGATCGCGTAAATAGGCTGCCATTATTTACGCCGTATATAGTGCACGCCGGGTATCATGATAATAGATGCACATAGGGGTCGTACATCGAGACCGCGCGGTGTCCAGACGGATTATAATAGCGGACGCTCGCGGGAGAAAAAGAGAAAGAGGGTACGTTGTAATATACGGTTAGCGATTTTCAATGCTCGCCTCCGCGGATCTTGGACGCGAAGCGCCATCGACATTTTCTTCATTCTTTTTTTTTCTCGGGAAACATCGAAACTCGCCACGATGCACAGTGGTGCGCGGAGAAAACAATTTTGTTAAAACAGCAAATTGTTTGTTAATACAGTGACAGCAAAAAAATGTGTTTGGACAGCAGAAAGATTTGTTAAGAGTATTATTTGCTGGATATATGGATAGCGAAATAATTTTATTGCTGTCGCAACGACGTTTTGCTACAACAGCAAAATTATTTTCTCCGTGTAACAAGTTCTTTTGTTGTCGCTATATTAACGAATAATTTGCTGTTCCAACAAAACTTGTTTTCTCCGTGTGTCTGAGCGATGTTTGTGGACAAAACCTCATAACCTCTTTATTACATAAAAATATAAATGGGTTATGATAGATTAAAATGAGAAAATATCTGTTAATCAAAAACTCAGCAACAAGGTAAAAAATATTAATATTATTTGTCAATGAATTGAAATAAAATGTTGTCATCGGAAATTATTAATTACGAACAGCAAAGAATTAATTTCTTATTACTCTATTTATATGCTCTTGCAAATATTAATATGTACATTGATATAATTGCATTAATAAAATTCGTATATTTAAAATTTCAAGTAAACGTTACACTTTTGAAATTTTTCAGTGATGCAAATCAAAGAAAAGGTATTTTAATGTAATATCATCATAATAATATTACTATTTTACGCTTCCTTCCAAATCTTACAACTTACAATACAATCTTACAACTTATATTTATTATAATTTCTTCACGGAGAAAAATATTTTGCTGGTACAGCAAATTGTTAGTTACTACAGGGACAACAAAAAGATTTGTTTGGATAGCAAGAAAATAGATTAAAAGTATTAATTGCTATTTGCTAAACGTATAGACATCAAAATAATTTGGTTATGTCAATTAAATTTTATCGCTGCCACAACAACGTTTTTGCTGCAAAATTATTTTCTCCACCTAACAAATCTCTTTGTTATCCCTATAGTAACTAACAATTTGCTGTGCCAGGATAATTATTTTTTTCCATATTATTATTAAATTCTTTTATATTATATAAATATATTGAATTTTATTTTCTACATACATTCGTAAAAAAATTTTAATTTAGTCCATTTCCGCATCGCGTCGTGCGACATCGCGTTTTTCCCGAACGTACGCACGAGGCAGAGGGAGAGAGAGAAAGGCGAAGAGCGAGGAAAAAAGGGTGGAGGGGCGATAGGACATCCCATAAAATTTCAGCTATATCGCGTCTAATAATCGCGAGCTTGAGCTTGGATCATAAAACCGCCCAATTTGCGAGGTATCAATTGCGACAGAATCGAGAGTAATCGACGCTCTACTGTAGGTAGAGGACGATTGAGGCGGGCCCACGTGCGGCGGCATTATCGACTTAAACGATTCTCGTGAAATTTCAATCCGTCGATCCGCGAACTGTGTCGCAGTTCTGTGTTGCACCCGGCTGGATTTCATTTACATGCATGAGCCGAGACATGTCGGCGATCGCTCGAGTTGCGTCACGGCATTATCATTAACTGATTTTCGCTCCTGCGATTTTCACCCCTCGCGGAACCCTCCACGTTTGTTCGGCCGGCAGCCTCGTTTCGCGACGAGGGGAGAATTTCGACGAATTATTTCCTCTGCTTTTTCCGTCCCAACTGTGTACATTCATTCATTCGTCCTTTCCATCTATCTATCCTTTCTTCCTTCCTTCCTTCCTTCCTACTTTCCTTCCGTCCTCCCTTCCTGTCGCACTGCCTTCGCTCACACGCCGTCAATTTCATGTTATTTACGCTTCGCGAAATATCGAAGTGGTCGTGAGCGAGTAAACGAGCGAGTGGGCTTTGAGCTTAAATCAATTTTATTTCGCTCCAGACGTTCTCGCCCACACCGTTTTTACGAAATTAAATACGCACCGCTGCTGTGTTTGTTCGCGGCTGCGAGTTCGTCGGCGATTCTCAGCTCACGGTTACCCGGCGCATTTTGCATTGCCGAAGGAGAAACCCGGTATTTTGGATGTATGCACGCGCGAAAATCCGGAAACGCAATAAAACGGAGGGAAAAGAGCGCGACTTTGTTCGGCTGTTTCCGCACGTAATCGGTGAGCAGTAGGTCAGCGGATTTCTCGAGCGGGCGAAATCGTATGTTATGGGAGAAAGAGAAAAAGAGAAAAACTGAGAGAGAAAGAGAGAAAGGGAGCCACGTTTTAACTCTCACAAGTGGTAAAGCTCCTCCAGGACCTCTCCGCATTCTCGTGGAAAATAGCGCAGCGACTTGTTGTGTCTGGCAGCGCGAAATTACCTCTCGTCTCGCACGGAGTATTTGCTCACGATTACTTACACCTGTTGTCTCTCTTTCAGTTTTTTTAAATTTATTCAAAGAAGAAAAATAATTCGCATCTGCATCAGTCGAACGTGGTTACACCGGCGCGGCTCGCGCGGGAAACGTGACGGAACGATGCAGCCTATCGTTCACGCGCCATTCGGCGTCCATTGGCGGACGTCATCGACATTGTGTGCATGTTGGCAAGACATCATCAGGTGCAAACTACCACCGCCAAAGTGTATACGATCGTCACGGATTATCGATTACACCGACATTGGTCCAATTAACTTGCAATCGATACAGACTGTCGGATGTTATCTCGGCTGACGTTCGCCCGCCAGCCGTCGAATTTCGAGGCAGGAAGGTGTTTATTATAGAAACGACGTCGGGTATTATAGGGGCGCGATGAAAGAGCGTTTCTCTCGTTCCTCTTCTCCCCTTTCTCTTCTCGAAATGATCCTCATCTCGTGCGCGTCGGAAAATTCAAGACGATAAGACAGACGGGCGGTCGCACGTCGCATAAATACAACGGGAGAAAGTCACTCTTCTTTCGCTGGTACGCCGGTAAAATAAATGTTGCACTAATCTTATTACATATACCGCGTTCTGATTAACATATAAATTTAGTAAACATATTTGTGTATATATATATATATATATATATATATATATCGCGAGAGAGTTCAAGCTCACACGAAACGTACAAGAGCCGTACCGCTCGTACAAGAGCCGCGTTTATTTAATCTTTGCGGCCTGAAAGCTGCAATGAATTTATATCAATTTTTCGCGAATTAAAGCCCAGCCGAAAAAAAGTCGCAGTTTCTACGTCATCTACGGGCGGCTGGCCTAGAGAAAGGGAATTAAATGTGGAAAGATTTTTAATGTTAACGTGCGCCTACTCACCCAATAACGACTATCGTGAAATCCAGCAGGTTCCAGCCGTTGCGGAGATAAGCGCCCGGGTGGGCGACGAAGCCGTAAGCTATGATCTTCATCACGCATTCCACCGTAAAAATCACAAGAAAAACGTACTCTATCTTCTCCTGCAACATCGAACGGGAAAAATCGCCGTGTGAGAAACGAGAAGGCGTGGCGGCGCATTTACATTAGCGTAAATCCGTTAGAAATGGTAACGGTAACGACGCACGGAAAACGCTCGATGGAGCTTTAGAGTTTCTGAATTCAAAAAAAAAAATTGAAGCAAGAACGTTTCCGAACGTTTGGCCGAATATAAAATATACTTGTAATATATACACGATACAAAAATTAATCGAACTAGCAATGCGCAACAGATAGTTCAAAGATCTTTACCGCATCATTTCTGAAATATTTAATTTTACTTGAAATACTTTAATTTTACATACTTGAAATACTTTAATTTTACATTAAACTTGTATGCGCAAGCATATAGCAGGCTCATAATACAAAAAATTTTTTCTAATTTGACATATTTGTATATGAGATAGAAGTTTTAAAAACAGTCGTAATATTAAAGACTATAATATACAGATATTAAAGGCAAATTTCAGAATTATTGATCATTTCATTTTGAAAATATAATAGTGAAAAGTTTATAATTTATAGTAATATTTGAAATATATATATATATATATATATATATATATATATATATATATATATGTATATACATGTATATATTTAAACTCATATATCTCTGTTTATTATCTCTGTGCATCTCTATTAGATCAACTGGTGTATAATATAGCATTAACCTTTTGAGTGCTGAATACTCCCGGCGCAAGCAATCCACGTGGACGACGCGCGCCTAGCGATTTCGATCGCTGGGGACAGAATACTTTTTTTCCCTAATGTGAATTCTGTCAATTGAATATGCAAGGCGCAACTACTTGAATAATACAAGAAAGTTATTTTCGAACATTAATTATTTTAATTAATTTTATGCACGACGCAAATCACACGCCGGGAACAGTCAAATCGCGCGCTAGGCGGAGCTAAACGCATATATGCATCCACTGTTCACACCGATAAGTTTCGCTGAACGCATAAATGCGTCCACAGCACTCAAAGGGTTAATAAGAAAAATAAAAAATAATATTTTCGTATTTTTAATATTACGTATATACATATTTACCTCAGCTTCATTTCTCAAATTAACATTTATAATTTGAGTAGCGAAATAAATGTATAGAAACGTAATTTGACTTGATAAATAATAAATTTATGAGAGATTCCTTCTTGAGGAGCCACTAGAAATACGGCACTTAGTGAACGAACCTCCTTAATCGCAATTTTCGCAGGAAATCTGCTTCAAAAAGACCGCGATTGATAAAGTTCGCGCGCGATAAGACAACCCCGCACAGTTTGACATCGGGGCACATAGCATCGATGTCAACGGGGCAATTAAACGTGATGGGAACAAATTGCGGCATGCTGCAATTAAAAACGCCCGGGCGTCGAAGACAATGTTTCGCGCGCACGTAGCCGTTTCCGTTAAACATTTAAAGCACGAGCGTCGCGGTGAAGGCGAATCACGGCGAGAGTTACGACGCGAACGTGATCATCGTTAACCGACCGGGGGGAAGGTGTGTCAACATGCGCCAATATATTTTTCAGGAGACCTGGATACGCTTTTTTTCTAAAACAAGAACGCAGACTGTTCTGACTCCTATTTCTTTGCTTCTTGTTCTTTCTTTCTTCTCTTCGTGAGCGTCCTATGTCGTTCTATCTGTCGCAATTGGTGCGTGGTAGCGCAATTCTCGGTCGAGCACGTTTCCGAATCTCTGAACTATGATTCATTGCTACTGAGCTGCAAAATTTAATTAATCGCAATGTCAGCTGCGAAACCGTGTAAGAACCGCGAGCTTTTAACAAATAAGCAAATAATAAGTAGTCGATTACGAAACCAAGAATTAGTAAAGTTTATTTTCGCTAAAGAGAGAAAGAGAAAGAGAAAAAAGGAAATTACCTTAAATTTACATATTTTGTAACATAATTTTTTTTTACAAAACACAAAACTTATAAATACATAAGTAATAACATCTTTACTTGTATTAAAATCGGTCCTTGTTAAAATATTTGTGTTAAATTTTTAACATACACGAGTCTTAATTTAATATATTTATGTGTTTATGTTGTCTCAATATTTTATGTTGAGTCAATATTCAACATGTGTAAGTGTTAAAATAACTAATTAAATAACTAACTAAATTAAAATAAATAATTTGTATAAATGTAAAAATAAAAGATTTTATATTTCAATGTCGATTAACATATTACGGATATTATAATTTTGTGTTAATCTTTTTGATAATATTTGTGTTCCTTTTCAACATATTCATCTGGTATTCATCTGGTATTATTCTCCTTTGGATTTATTTGACCCGAAGATTAAGGAGGGTTAAACACAAAAATTTGTGTGGACTGTTTGGGTAATGTGAAATGTGTTAAATTTGACACATTTTTTACTTTATAGAAAAATATTATAGGATCGCAACGATTTAATCGTGTGCCTTAGTTACAAACAAAAAGATAGGAAAATAAAGATGCGCGTTACCAAGAAACACGATAGCGTAACTCGTTATCTCGTTATCTATAGTTAGCCTCATTACCTCGTTTGCTCGTTTAGTTATTTGAAAATCGCATAGTTTTTTGAAAAATAATGTGATACCATTGTCACCGTAATCGTTACTCAAGGATTAACGAATCGCTGCAATTTTCGTTACTTTTATCACGAGGTTTCAAAGGTCTCTTTTCATGACTCGCTGCCGCCCACCTCATGCAATATGTTCTACACGTGTAACAAAATAATTACAAAAGATTTTACTAACACAAAAAATGAAATTGCGTTGCTGTAATCATTACTAGGAAGCAAGAACCGTTAACAAGTCGTTATTGAAAGACAACAACTTGTAATGCGTTACACATGCATAATACACAGAACGTATCGCCACTACGCCATTACGCCGTTGGATTTGGGGTGAATTTTTCGACCTCGGTCGCTGCTCATTAGCGCGAGATCCATCGGTACGAATAGTACCGGAGGCATCGGAGCCGGCGCGCAAAAGGGTTAATCGGCGGCGCACAGAGTTACAGTTGCGGTCGACGGTGGGGGGGGGGGGGGGNAACGGCACAGGCCTTGGTGAGAGGAAAACAGGCGAAACAAAAGGAAAAGGCGGCGGGTTAAAAATAAGGCTCGAGAGCGCTCGCTCGTACACACGAGGGGTAGGGAGAAAAAACCACGTCGCGCTCGCAGGAGGCGAGGAGGGAAGAACACGTCGCGCGAGTCGCAGGCCGGGTAATGCTAAAAGGGAGGATGAAAGGCGCGAATACATGGAGTGCAGAGGACTCCATCTCACTCGCTCTCTCACTCTCTTTCCATCCCTCTCTCTCTCTCTCTCTTTCTCTCCCTCTCTTGTCATCCATTACGTTTAATTTCCGAAATCGATCGATTATTGGCCCGCCGAAATAGCCGATTGGCCCGCCGAACGCGCATTATATCGCCGAGCACACTCGTGTGTGCTCGCCGATGCATGACACGTGTCCAACACCCGTGGCCGTCGTTACGTCACTCGGAGAGAGTGCATCCGATAGCGACACCGATGTGAGGAGAAACTCGTCGAAAATAGTCGGCGCCACGGTTGCTCCGCGGTCTTTCTGCTTTTCTCTCTCTCTCTCTCTCTCTCTCTATCGCTGAGGGAACTGCCGGATCGTGCCGCCCTCGAAGAAAAGAACGCAATGTGTCCTTTGGCAGGTAGATTGCACGAACCTGTTGCGCGACTTTTTTGACGGCTTATTTGCTGAGCACCGTCGAGTTATTACATTTTGTCGTTTCTTGTTGTTTGGGGGGAGGGGGGAGGGGGGAAGGCGGGGNATGAAAAAAGCTATGTCGTATTCAAAATACACGATTTCACGGAGCCGTTGACGGGCTAAATGAGTTTTTGCGACGGTGACGTGAGAAATGAAGGCTAGGCGGAGTAAAATATTAGGTATTCCGGTTAGTTTTGAGGACTCATTGTGGGTGGCTATAGCTGCAAATCTATTAGAGACGTTTTGAAAGTTGGTACGCCATTTCAAAGCTTGGACATTTCTACAAATCATTTGACACAAGTCCTGTGGATTAGTAAACATAACCGTGCTGTTTAGTGCGATTGGAAATGGAACGTGATAAAGAGCATTTTCGTCATCTATTACTTTACTGCTTGATTCGAAGAAAACGGCTGCCGAAACTCACCGATTTATCTCAGAAATTTATTCTGAGTCTGCTCTATCGGTTAAAACATGTGAATACTGGTATCGACGATTTAAAAGTGGTGATTTCGATTTGAAAGGCGAAGAACGTTCAGGTCAACCGAAAAAGTTCGAAGATGTCGAATTACAGGCATTGTTAGATGAAAACCCAGCTTAAACGCTTGAAAAATTAACTAAAATACTAAATGTTGGTAAATCAACCGTTTCTGATCGTTTACATGCATTAGGAAAGATTCAAAAAGAAGGCAAATGGGTCCCAAACGAATTGTCTGAATTGACTATTTAAAATCGTTAACCACTCGCACTTCATTGCTTTCTCGTCACAAAAAGAAATAGTTTTTGTATCAAATTATAACTGGCGATGAAAAATGGATATATTATGATAATCCTAAATGTAAAAAACCGTGAGTAAATCTAGCCCAATCGTCGACATCGACTTCTAAACGTAACATCCATGAAAGTAAGGTTTTATTGTGCATTTGGTGAGATGAAAGGCATCGTGTATTATGAGCTGCTGAAACCTAATCAAACAATCACTGCTGAGCGTTATCAACAACAATTAATCGATTTGAATCGTGCTTTGAGCCAAAAACGTTCAGTAACAGTTCAAAGAAAAATGATTTTGTTGCACGACAATGTTCGACCACACGTTAAAAAAACAATTAAAGATGCGTTATCGGCATTTCAATGGGAAGCCACCATTGAAATGCCGATAATACCACATGCCACGTATTCATCAGACTGTGCTCCTTCAGATTATTACTTATTTCGATCGATGCAGCAATTGCCGGCCAGCACTTCAAAACATATGATGAAATATAAAAATGGCTCGATGAATGGATTGCTTCGAAAGACGAACATTTATTTTACCGCGGAATCCACTTATTGCCAAAAAAATGGGAAAAAGTTGTAGCTAGCGGTGGAAAATATTTTGGATAAAATATAATTTAGCGTCTCTCTAAAACATGTTTTTTTTTTGCAAAGAATCCCTCAAAACTAACCGGAACATCTAATACATTAATTGTAGGACTATACTTCTCATCATTCGTTCATTTTTTTTTCAAGCGTTATCCTTGCGAAGAATCGCGCCCGTAAACAGAAATTAAATTGCTCTAATTGATTCTCCCCCCCCCCCCTCTCCTGCCGCGGTCTGCGCTCCTGTGTGACACGTTCCATTAAGTATATCGATACTTCTCATTATAAAATGCATCATAGCGCATTTGTGTGTACAGTTTTTTTTCATGCTGCCGCATCGCGAGAGCTAACAAGTTACACGCCATATAAGCGAAATATGAGAAAGAGCAGGAAATATGAGAAAGAGCAGGAACCTAGACTGAAGCCAGGAACGTAGGTATAATGCAATTGCGCCTGCCGAATAATAGATCCACAACATTATTAAACGCTAGATCGTTCGGGCTGACGAATATTTTATCGTGGTTAAGAGATTAGACTGCCTGATCTAGGCCAGGTATTTACGCAACTATTGCGTCAAATAGAGCAATAGGTAGTATCCGAATATCTTATTAAATCTCATTAGAGATTTTGGAAGTGAAAAACGCAAAATTCTCATTATTTTACAAGCGGATTAATTGTTTTGAAACTAATGTGTGTGTGTGTGTGTGTGTGTGTGTGTGTGTGTGTGTGTGTGTGTGTGTGTGTGTGTGTGTGTGTGTGTGTGTGTGTGTGTGTGTGTGTGTGTGTGTGTGTGTGTGTGTGTGTGTGTGTGTGTGTGTGTGTGTGTGTGTGTGTGTGTGTGTGTGTGTGTGTGTGTGTGTGTGTGTGTGTGTGTGTGTGTGTGTGTGTGTGTGTGTGTGTGTGTGTGTGTGTGTGTGTGTGTGTGTGTGTGTGTGTGTGTGTGTGTGTGTGTGTGTGTGTGTGTGTGTGTGTGTGTGTGTGTGTGTGTGTGTGTGTGTGTGTGTGTGTGTGTGTGTGTGTGTGTGTGTGTGTGTGTGTGTGTGTGTGTGTGTGTGTGTGTGTGTGTGTGTGTGTGTGTGTGTGTGTGTGTGTGTGTGTGTGTGTGTGTGTGTGTGTGTGTGTGTGTGTGTGTGTGTGTGTGTGTGTGTGTGTGTGTGTGTGTGTGTGTGTGTGTGTGTGTGTGTGTGTGTGTGTGTGTGTGTGTGTGTGTGTGTGTGTGTGTGTGTGTGTGTGTGTGTGTGTGTGTGTGTGTGTGTGTGTGTGTGTGTGTGTGTGTGTGTGTGTGTGTGTGTGTGTGTGTGTGTGTGTGTGTGTGTGTGTGTGTGTGTGTGTGTGTGTGTGTGTGTGTGTGTGTGTGTAGAATGAGCCGAGGAATAATTTTTCTAATGTCAATGCAAACGAAAACGCACGTGTAAAAAAAAAGTCTTTTTTTCACATCTTCTATGTTTCATCTGTGAGAACGCAGATAGATGTCTGCAAAATTATTCGCGTGTTCGGGCCCGAGTATATTGCGAATTCTTTATATAGTTCGATAATCTTGTGGCGATAAAAGCTATCGGAGTTGTCGGAGTTTCACCTCGCGGATTGAGTTGAGCGGAGGATGTAAAAGTAAAAAGTTTTTCAAGAAGGGCAGAGAATCGATCTTGAGATTTGCGACTTTTTGGAGTTTTTCATCGGATTCGAATCTCACCTGGAGGTGTTGTTCCTTCCTTCCCTAGAGATTCCCGGAGATATCTGAAGAGAGAGCATTTGTGTGTGTGTGTGTGTGTGTGTGTGTGTGTGTGTGTGTGTGTGTNACGTCGTAGAAAAAAAATAAAACGCGGGATTGATCGACGAAGATACATCAACAAAATACAAAACTCGCAAAATTCGGGTGGTAAATAATACAACTGACCGGAAATAATATCCTTCAATGATTTTAATGCGAAACAGACCCCTTGATAATCACATTATTTTTCCCACTTAACATTTTTTTCTTTTTCTGCACATGCAGTTAATTATTTCGGAGTTTCTACGAATTTAAGATGCAATGAAAGCACCCTTCATCACTTGCTCTAAATCACACCGCTTTGTGACAGCTATTTCTACTCAAGCGCGTATTTATTTTCCGTCTTCCGGTGGGAGAGAGAGCCCTTAAAAATTGTATTAACAAACCGACAACGATTCGATGATTTCAACTTCTACGTTTAGCGATTAACGGAGGCTGAGGAGGGGGGTTTAAGGCGTCACGGTTCACTTCACAGTTTACACACAGGCAGCTTTCCAGGAATTCCCCGTTGGCCTAATCTCAGCGAAGTTTCCTCCCGGTATTAATTAGCGCAGGGGATGCGCTTTCAGTGACGCAAAATGCAGTCGCACCCCTTTGGCGAGACAAGCCGAACGGCGCTAACGGCGCGATTCCTCGCTTCGGTACATGCATGACGCAAAACTAAATTTTCAAAGAGAGAGATAAAGAAAGAAAGAGAAACTACAACGCTACCGAGCACTCCCCTTTGCCCTCCTCTTTCTCCATACACGATCTGATAGGCAATTTCGTGAGTTAGTACGTCGGCCGCGAAGCAACTCCGCGAGACTCGCCCCGAACAAACTCTATCTCTCTCTCTCTCTCTCTCTTTCTCTCTCTCTCTCCTCGCAGGCTCCATCGCTGATAACCGTAAATGACTTCTGAAGTGTTCGAGATGCGCGCGTACTCGTCGGCCTCGATTAATCCTCGCACTGTGTCGCGGCCTACATGTGAATCGTGCTTTCCAATTATAGTGCGGGATATCATGCGCGTCGATGTCGAGCAAGATTGAACAATTATTGAACTTTCAGCTCGAATAAGTTTCATGCCACCAACCCTGCCGTCTCGGAATCGATAACTCGATAGAGGTTCGTGTGGTTCGTTGAACGGAACCGCCACTTATTGTTGCTGCAGAAGGCACCCTTCTCTTCCTCTCCCTCCTCCTCCTCCTCCCTTACGTTTTCCTTCTGCTATCTCTCATTCTACATTTCTCTGTTTCCTCTTTCTCCGGTTTATACGTCTGGTTCATACGCCGTTCGGCAAAATTGCATTTATTTCACATTCGGTGGATCCGCACAAAGGCCGCGCGCGGCGCCTTTCATAACGGGATGATTGCCATTCGCCGGCAATTATTTTTAGTCCCTTTTTGAGGTTTCTGTTTTTACTTAGATAGATAGCTGCACGCCGCCGCGCACACGCGATATATGACGTTACACAGACCCGCGTTATCCGATTATGCCTTTATTGACAGAGATAATGGGAAATATACGTGATATTATATTGGGATTGTGCTTTATTGAAAAATAGAAGCGAGCTCGTTGCTTCGAAATATTCCCCGTGAAAGCGATAAAAAAGCGATGAAATCACGATCGCCGTTGGATACTCACCAAGTACTGGTTGGTCTGATTAGAATCGCCTAAGGGATACGGCGTGTAGACGGCCAGGGCGACGCAGTTCGCAAATATGGTCATGAGAATGAGCCATTCGAAAGGTCTGCGCGGTAACGTTGATAAAATCAATCGGATCTTAAGGAAAACACCAGTTAACCTTTCAGCATCGCCGACAATATTAACGACGATGTCACTATCGTGCCGAACCTTCGCAAGGTCAGCTGCTAAAGGTAACTTAATGTCAGGCGCGTTATTATCTCGATAATTTCAAAACCGTAGCGAACACTCGCTTCGACGTCATCCACGGTGAATTTGAATGAGGAAAGGAAAAAAGAGAAGAGGAAAAAACGCATCGTTAATATCAAGCTCGCGTTTCAGAGACACTGTTACAATCTCTCGAAATTTCTTCGGGTGAAATTCCACTCGGGAAGTAGAGCGACAGCCGAGTCACTCGAAGTCGAGTGTGACCTTTCCCTCATGCAGATCGAATTCTTCCACTCGGAATCTCTCGTCTCGTCAAGCGAATATTTTCATTCGAAATGAAGAGGCGAATCTGGTGTGATTCCGCCGTTACGTGAAAAAATCCACTTTAAGTTCGAGTTAAACTTTCGCTTTTGCGATCCCGATATTTTCACTATGGTTCCAAATGAATTTTGTTTCGCTTTTCGCGAGATTCCGCTCCGAAAAATTCAACTAATGTCGAACGTGATGTTCCCGAAACGAAATATTTAGCTTTCCGTACTGACAAAAGGATTTGGTAACAATTATCAAGCATTTCGTTAAATAGTTTCAATTAAATGATTGGTTAGTGTAAAAATCATCATTTAGTTGGAACCATTCAACTAAATGTTTGACAATTGTCAACGAAAAAATGGTCTCTTTTTCAGCGCACGTATTAGAAAGCAGCGATTATTCCGGCAATCGTCAACCCAATCAGCACATAAGTAAAGGATACTTCCATTCCACGACGTGGATGCACATCTTCCTAAGAGGGTTCTTGAGGGGCAGGCAGAAGAGCGCCCTGATGGGCCTGTCGGGTGGCGGCTTGCCGCCCCGTCTGGCAGGCCTCTTCGGGGCCGACTTGGAGGCGGCGGCGGCAGCGCCGCCGGCGGTGGCGGCCCCGGGGCCCGCACCTGTCTGCGATTGCGGCGGCTGTGCGTTACCCAGCTGTGCATCGCCACCGATGACGGGGGGGGTCGCGTTGAAGGGGGTTGCGACAATCGGCTGGAGCCCCGGCAGCCCAGGGGGGCCCAGTGCCGAGCCCCCATCCCCCCCCGCGCTCATCGGTCGCTGGTGTCGAGCTCCGTGCTTCCCCTCCGACGACGATCTCGCCTCCTTCTTCTCCGTCTACGGCGACGCTCCAGCGGTTGCTGCTTCTGCTGCCTTGCCACGCAGACGGCTGACGCCGATCGACGCGGTGTCTCAGAGGCGCCCCACCACGCGCTGCAGCTCGCCGGCATGCTACGGCACTGGGCTGCTACGAAGCTCCCTCCGTGACCTGCGGCAAAAGGTCGGGGTTCATGAGAGAAAGATAGAGAGAGTGAGCGAACGATTAAGAGGGAGGGGGAGAAGTCTAGTCAGCCCTTTCGATCCTAACCGGTCGACCGTGAGTGTACAGCGCTCAGCCTGTAAATTGTAATTATTCATGAGCTAACGCGATGCATCATCCATCGCCGTTCAGCTGATACGCCTCGCGTAAATATCCCCGAGACATGTGCGCGAAAATTTTATACTCCCGGCTCGATACGGCGCGGATAATCTCGGTATTTCGATGTAAATCGCAGCGAGAGGGCGATCAGGACCGCAGTTGACCGTCGCCGAAATTCCCTCGCGATGAACTCTGTGTCAACTCGTTATTGTCTCGGATCATCTCGGGCCAGCTCGACCTGCTCTCTCGCGAATATCGCGATCCGCAAACGCGCCATTTGCGCCGCGCAATTTCTCGCGATTATCGGGGCAAACAACATGCCGTGAGCGTGCCGTGAGCGATCGCGATAAATCCAGCGTCTCTCGCGTTTATCCCGCCTGGACGAAAAAAAATCCGGAATAAGAGAGACGAGACATGATAAAAAGTTAGTTATAGTTTGCGACGTGGGAAATGAGAGTAACGCGACGCGTGAACACGTGCGAAACTGCCCGTCGAAATTCCGCTGACGCGTTGTCATCGTCGTCGTCGTTGGCGACCCGCGCGTTTCGCGAGAGTGAGAGAAAAACGGGACGTTCGAGCAGTTCGAAAATACACTGGCGAACGACGCAATTATACCTTTGACGGCGAAAATCCGCCGGTAGACGCGTGCGCTACGCGACATGCACAGGGAGGATCGCGCACTGCTGCCTCCCCCCCTCCCTCATCGAGAAGGGAATAATGCACAGCAACGGCATGGCCTTTCGATCGCATCGTGTGAGAACGCAATAAAAAATAACAAGACTCTGCTGAGTGAAAAGAATCCGATTATTTTCCGGCTGCCTTTTTTAGGACTTCATCTCTCTTCCCATGAACCACAGTATCTTCCCTACGGACCGGACCTTTGTTCTCGTTAATTGAAAGAAAGAGAAAAAGAGAGAAAGAGGGAAAGAGAGAGAGAGAGAGAGAAACTAACTAGGGACGAACGAGACGAGTCCTGTATCCTTAATGAAGTAGTAATAATTAGCATTATCGCAGTTATTATTATTATTATTTTTAAAACACACGGTGTTGTTTCCGCAGCGGATTAGTTTCCGGTGATGTCGATTCCGGTGATAAGAATCGCTATGAATTATTCCTTTATATTTTATATAATATTACCAATAAATGAAATAGTAATAATTGGCATTACTGCTCTTATTGTTATTATTAAAACATGGTGTCGACCGTAGCGGAAGATTAATTTCTAGTGATAACGATAAGATTCGCTAACAATTATTTTTTAATGTTCCATGTAGCGGTATCACAACACGGAGACAAATAAATTTACTATTATAGCAAATCACTGCACCAGCATTAAAATTCAATTGGCCACAAACAAATTAGCAAATTATTCGTAATTAAAACAGAAGTTTTGTTGTCGGGGTGGAAAATATTCTGGCTAAATAAATTTGTCCTCGGGGCACGTTAATTTACTATTAGAGCAAAATAGCGTTTTCCTATCAATTTGTTCTTACAGCAAAATGATTTGTATATTCAATAAAATGATACAGTGAATAGCAATTAATATTCTTAACGAATCGTTTTACTGTCCGTACAGTAACTGACAGATTTTGTCACGATAGTATAAAATTTGCTGTGCGCCAACAAATTTTTTCTCTCCGTGTGGTATAGTAGTAATTGGCATGATTGCTATTGTCGTTATTATTATATTATATTTATTATGTCATTATTATTATATTATATTAAATCACGTTATTAAACCCTGATTAATTATCAGTTTTCGGGTAAGAATCACTAAAAGAATTGTTCTATTATGTTTTATAAATCATCATCAGCAGAGAAAATGATACTAATCGGCATTATTGTTATTACTGTTATTATTAACACACGATATTAACCCCGGCAGAAAATCAGTTTCCAACGACAACGATAAGAATCGCTTCAAATTATCGCGCTTCATCTTTTCACATATCGTTATTCGCATCAACGACAATGATTATGGTCGCTTCTTTATGCACGAGCCACGCGATTGCACCGTGGAACATGCAACATCACTGATCGATTTCAATAACAAATATACGCGACGGTAAATGGGCTATTATTATTAGATAAGGATAATCTCTCTCTCTCTCTCTCTCTCTCTTTCTCTCCTTTTCTTTTTCGGCATACACACACACAACTGGAAAATATCGAGCGTTTCGAAATCTCTGTTATCCGCTGCGTCCGTGGAATCGTGTTTAAGCCATTTAGCGGACATTTATTCCTCCCTTTCCGACTACCCTTCCGCCCTGAAAAGCGACGAAGAGGTATCGCATGTGAGTTGCGCGCGGTTCGCGAGTACGGCATACGTGATAACACGACAATTACTCGCGATAGAAATCCGCTTGAAACGCTCGGTGCAATCGGCGTTTTCGCTACCAGCCGGTAATCTCGCTATCGCGAAGGCGATAAATCGCGGAAACGTCCCGTTTCGTGGACAATTCTTCGCGATTTAACGAGCATGTTCCCGGCTCTGGCGGCCGGGCGGGCGACTTTCTTGCCGCGCAAAGTTAGTTTGCAAAAGCCGTTTGAAGTCAACATGATCGATCGGCCGATTCGCTTGCTAATCCGTTCGGCGAGAAACACGGCGTCCCTTTGATGTCAGTCCTTATAGCCGGTAGGGTGATTTCGAAATAGACGGTGCACGACCTCAATGGATGGATAGCCACGTGGAAACGCTCGCAAAAATTCTTGTCAACGGCGAATCGTAAGGGCACTGCTTCTTTGGCCGACAGACGCCGCTTTCAAGACAGAGGCGCGTAATTAGCAGATCGCACGAATTAATCCGAAATAACCGAAACTGAAGAAGAACTAAAACTGCGCCAAAATTGAAATTGCACGACGATGCGACAATATGTAGCTAGAAAAGTTCGGCTGGCGTCAAAGACATCGAGTAGTTTCTCCTCGAAATTCTTCTTCATGCGATGATTGTTATGCATTTGTTATTATGTTAATCCATTAGGACTAATATCCCATTTGAAGCGCTTCTTTCTTATTGAACACAATCATTCGTGCGTGGTGATTGATATATGCGATTTTATTTATATACTTTCAATATTAGATTCCCAGTTATATATATATATATATATATATNTGTACCTTCGATAAAAATAGTTCTTATACTAATCTGAGACCAGTAGGAAATAAACAGACCGATGAAGACTGACCTTCAAGTCATCTTTATGAAATCATTATGGCCTTTGATGGATCAAAACTGTGACAACACATCTGATAAAAATGCTCGTTTCTTCCTGTTTCTTTAACCGAGTAGAAGAGATTTTTGTCTTCAAGTTTCACTTTTAAAAATAGAGTAGTTATCTTTGACAAATTCAACAACGTGCATCACACGTACACACCGTTATTTCCACCACTAATGGCTCGCAATATTTCCAATTGGTTTTCTTGGAATTTACCATAAACCGTTACGTCCCGCTGCATGTATCATTTCATTGTCGCTCGATTGGCAAACGGGCTCTTTTACGGCTTCTATCTCGCTGAAAAGATCACGAAAGTATCGAGATCCGATATTTGAGCATCTGGCGTATAACGTTGATAGAACGGGTGCCCAAAACAACCTTCGTCGAGCGACGCGTTCGTCCGAGGTAGAGAACACGGCGGCTACAAGAGACCGGGGGCCTGGGATTTATAGTCGACTCGCGCTATATTTAGTGAGCCTAAATACTAGAAAGCTCTGCCTACGGACGAGTTTCGCGCGGCCTGCCCTGTGTCGCGACACGTGAACTTGCCTCCGATCAAATCGCCCCTCCGTGGCCTTTGAGCTCGATGATTTCGCAAGAAACCGTAGATTTACGAATCGCATGCCAGGTGTGCGAGATATTAATTCACACAGTGTGTCCACGACACATTTCGCTCGTACTCTCGACAATTTTTCGGAGCGGGATCTCATTCAAAATGAGTGAAAAATTCACCCGAAGCGATTGTTAAAATACCACCGTTCGGAATTACAGGAATGAATGTCGGATTTCGATTCGTTCAAGCTTTGAGTGGATTCTTAAGCCGTACAAACAAATATTTCAATTGATTAGAATAAATTGATTTCTGTGACAATGGGGCAGATTAGATTCATCTTTCAACTTCTGTTGCGAGCCACACGGTACACCCGTGATACCGTGCGATATATTGTCGCTCGCGAGAGGCGATTGTCTGCGATTAGCTGACAACATCGTGTCGGCTGTCGCTAGGCACGCGCGTTATTTCCCTTTTATTCTATTGATATTTTCGTGTCTTAGAAAGGCGAGATTAAAAAGGAAGCGAAACATCCTCGGGAGCTTCCGAACCCGATTCAGTACGTTTCTGCATAGCTTGTGACAGGACGTATTCGTGATCGTGCTACGCGTTGTCGATTGCTCGTCGTCGATCGCAATTTATCCATTGAAATACTTCTTTATAATAACTGCGTGCGGTATTTACAAAGTTTTACCGAGTGTTATTGTATTTGCGTTCAAACTTTCAGTTCTTGTTAACGTTTCTGAGAGTGAATGCGTCGCCGAACTCTCACGCGTGTGTTGTGCCCCTTCAAGGAAGCAATAAATTGAAGAATCATTGTATTATTGTTAATGCGCCGTTGTGTTATTTTGAATTGAACTTTACGCTCACAAGGAACTCTCTTGTTCACGTGCGCACAACTTCCAACAAATATTATCGATTTAGAGAATTCATTCTGTATGAATAAAAAGACACCCGAATTCGAATGACTCGACTTATCACTTTATTTTTCGAATCGAATTTCACTCAAAGAAATCCGGAGGATATTTTCTCAATATTTTTCGGGGCGGAATCTCATTTAAGTCAAATGAAAACTCATTCATGGC